CAGCCCCTCGCCCCCACCCCGCCTCCCACCGCCCCCCTGCCCTGATCTCCATGGGACAGCCCCTCTGCTCCAACCCTGCTTCCACCGCCCGCCTGCCCTGATCTCCATGGGACAGACCCTCTGCTCCAAACCTGCTTCCACCGCCCACCTGCCCTGATCTCCATGGGACAGCCCCTCTGCTCCAACCCGCCTCCCCCCGCCCGCCTGCCCTGATCTCCACAGGACAGCCCCTCTGCCCCAACCCTGCTTCCGCCGCCTGCCTGCCCTGATCTCCATGGGACAGCCCCGCTGCCCCCAACTCTACTTCCCAGTGGCCGGTTCCCCCCAGCCGCCCCATCTGCCTCCCCCCGCTCTGCTCCTCTCCCAACAGCCACACTGAGGCCCGGTATTTTTTTCCCATGGCCCGGTACTGGTACCAGGCCGCAGCCCATAATTTGGGAAACATTGCCTTAGGAGATTGTTCTAGCTACTAAAGTCCCCTCTGCCCTAGGGATGTTGAATTGCCTGTAATCGGCTAATCGAGTAGTCAATGGAATTTCCATCAACTACTAGATAAGGGGGAAAACTGCAGAGTTGAAGCTGGTCTGCTTTTGAAATGTATTAAGAGCTACCTGGCTCTTAATACATTTAAAAAGCAGAGGTGCAGCATCTGGGACCCGGCAGAAGCTGGGAATCAGCTGATTCCCAACTACACCTTTGCCTCCCCCGCCATCCCAGATGGAGCTGGGGAGGAACCATTTTTTAAGCTGCTTCCTGCCCTTCCCCCTTGCTGCCTCTCTCTGATAGAGGCAGCAAGTGCAGGGGGGAAGCAACTAGTTGCTTATATCCCTGTTTTCTGCCCAATAAAACATGTCTTGGGAGACCTTATGATATGCAGTGGAAATGTTAGAAGGCACGTTATATCCATGTTTCCAAAAGGTACTACAGCTTTGCAAAAACTAATAGCACAGTTTGGAAATATGGGTAAAATACAGCATGATCTCATATATGCTACAAGATTGTACTATATGTTTGTTTAGGAACAGAGTTGCTGTAGCTGGATATCATAATATAAAATATATTTACATTAAAGAGGAAAGATGTTTTAGTCCTATGACTCTTAATTTTATCTCTTTATCACCAAAACAATTCTTCTGATTCCTTATATGCTTAATTTTTGTTCATTGTCATCTTTAATCAGTTTTGTTTCTTTTCTCTGAATTCCTTCTAGGTTATTAATATCTTTCTGAATGCTCAAAACAGAACAGTGGTGGTCTCAGCAGTTTAGTGTTTCCTCCTTAACTCTGTCTGGTTAGTCCACTATTAGATTAATGCACATCAGTTGATTCAAAATGGAACTTGCTGATAGAGATTACTTTGTTTTGACTGAATATGTATAGATGCCCTTTGGCCTTCTACGAGTATTTACCATTGTGATCCCTTTCCTGTACGTCGGGACTCAGATCAGTAAGAATTTTGCAGCCTTGCTCGAGGAACATGATATCTTTGTCCCAGAGGATGATGATGATGATGATTAAAGGTATGATATCAGTACTGTACCACTAACAGTTCAATTACTTGTATTACCTGTTTGGCTTGGGAGAGGGAGGGGATTATGTGATGCATAGTGCTCCTGCTTTGGAAAACTGCTGCACATTCAGTGCTGATGGTTGATCCTATAATAACCTGCAGGTGCACTCTTTCTTTGATCTTGAGGTTAATCCGTGGTCACCAACAGGTTGATCGCCACGCCTCGACCAGTTGATTGAGAGGCGTTCGTGCCCCCTCCGCCCCATTTTCCACCCACCCTCGAGAAGCCCCACTACCTACCTCCTGCAAAACTGGAGGTAGTTTCTGTTTCCCGTGGGTGGACAGAAGTCCTGCAGCTTAGCACCACTTCCGGGGATTCCGGAAGTGCGCTGGCTGCTCTGCCAGGCGTGCTGTGGGAGGGGACGTTGGCTCTGGAGGAGGAGAATAAGGACTTCCCTGCACCAGCGCAGGAGGAGTGAGTTGACCCCTGGGCAGGCACACACAGGCTTTCCCTGTGCCTCGGGGGGGGAGGCCCCACAGCAGGCATGTGCAGGGTTTCCCTGTGCCACGGGAAGCGGGGAGTTGGGCCTGGAGGAGGCATGCGCTGGCTTCCCTCTGGGGAGGGAGGGGGGGAATCCTGGGAGGAGGTGGATGCAGGGGACTCTCTGCCTCCACTGGTACCCCACTCCCCAGCCACAGAACGCTGTTCCCACTCCCCTGGTCCCAGCCACAGAACTCAGTCTCCATTCCTGTCCCCGCTCCCCAAACTCTGTCCCCACTCTCCTGTCCCCAGCTACAGTACTCTGTCCCCATTCCCCGAACTCTGTCCCCACTGGCACCCTGTCCCCAGCTGCAGAAACCTGTCCCCACTGGCACTTTGTCCCCTGCTGCAGAACCCTGTCCTCTGCCCTCCCAGCATCCTGTTCCCTCTCCCCTGCCCCTAGCCGCAGAACTCTGTCCCCACAAAATGTATAATTATAAATGCTTCATTTTAAATA